TGAAGAGGAGAATTTTCAAGGAAAGGAAAGGATCCCTGTACTAATAAGGAACAGGCAGGCAGTGGGAGAGTTTAAGGGCTGAATGTGATCCACTTGGATCTGCAGAGATATTGGGGGGCGGGCACAGAAGTGTACAGAATTGGATTATGTGCTCTGAGGGCAATCTGACTCTTCCAGATCGGTTTGTCTTGACAAGCAGCGTGAGTCTGGCTTGGTGCTTAGCTCTTAAATGCGATGCTAGGAACAGCACAGCAAGAAGTGGACAAAGCCAGGACAAAAAAATCCTAACGTTTCCTTGAATTGACTTCAGCTGTAAATGTGATTAAGATGAACAAATGCAATTAACATGTCCTGGTATTTCTATGCACATGTCTTTGACATTTTCCAAGTGCTTAATATATCCCTCTACTTTTAGAAGTTAACATTTTTGCAAGAAGCTCATGAAAAGCATCTGGATGATGCCTCCAAGAATTGGGGATGGAGGTTGGGTTTGTAAGTTGTGCAGCTTGCAGTTCACAGAAATCCCAAAGGACTGTGAAAATTTAAAGCCTGTCTACCATCTCTGAATCAGTAGAAAACTGCAGGGACCAGCATGAAATCTGCTGTTCCTATTGATGAATCTCATCCCCACCTCAGTTTCCCATTCCCGGTCACTGGCAGTCATCTAACAGGGGACAAAGACAAACCGGCTGGCATACATTCGTTGGATAGGGTTGGAACAAGGGAGAAAATACCACTATAACAATGGTATAACTAGGGATGGCTGAGGCCTGTCTCACTCGTGGTCTTAGGAGGTGAAAAGAAGAGGACATGGCAATAAAAAGAAGTATATTTGTGCTGTGGTCGGATACACTTGGGGAAAAGCCCACAAAAGGGAAAGAAGAGAAGACCAAAAGGGTCTGAGAGACCAGCAGAGACAGCATCATGGAGCCATTTCTGGACAGAGACATTAACCCCTTTTCCAGTGGTGGGATTCAGCCAGTTCGCACCACTTCGGGAGAACCGGTTGTTAACTTTCTGAGCAGTTTCGTGAACTGGTTGTTGGAAGAAATCATTAAGGCAGAGAACCGGTTGTTAAATTATTTGAATCCCACCACTGCCCTTCTCCCTGTTTCAGGCAATGTGTCCTTATTGCAGAGAAGAATCGGTGCTGCTTGCCCACATTGGGGTTCTATACAGAGGACAATTCCAGTCAAAACATGTAAAGCCCAGTGGACTGACCGCTTATGCCAGATGCACAAATCCTGTTATTTTTGTTTATTTGTTTGTTTGGCTTTCAAGGTTAGGATTCTTCGTATGATTAAATAAAAAGCCCAATATGTCTCGGCCAGCTCTTTGCAAACTCACAGCAAATGCAGGCAGCCTGGTGCAAATCATATTGCCTTCCCTCATCCCCAAGGCTGAACACGCCTCCGAAATATTGACAGAGAATAACCAGCTGCGGCCTCCTCTCGGGAAGAGGGGAGGGAGGCTCTGTCCTGGTTAGCTCTGGGACCTAGAGATCCTGAGGGGAGGAGTGGGATAGAAAGAGTGACACAAGAATGAAAATGAGTGGGAAATCATGAGTAGGTTACTTAATGCAGGGTTATATAAGGCGAGAGAGAGAAAAGAGAGAGGGAGAAGGAGGAAGGGAGGGAGAACATGTAGGTGGGCGCTGAGTTTTTGCTTGTTCAACAGGAGTTTTCCATCCCCTCCTCTCCCCACCCACCCCAGATCAGTGGGGGAGAAAAGGATGAATGGTCTAACAGAGCTCTGCAGCATGCAGAGATGGATCGAGGGAACATTAGGCAAAGATGGGGAAGAGGGGCAGAATGTATAAAAATAAAATTGGCATACGGGGTCCACAGGAGAGGGGGGAAAGGAGGGGGTAGAAGAGGAGAGGGAATAAGGCATGGTTTACGCATTTACCAGGCTGATGAACTAATTGAGTCTCTGGTCCACCGGCGCTTATTCTCTAATAAAGCTTTCTGGTGCATTGGTTTATTAAATTAATACCCTGCCTTTTATTCCCAAACTCGAGGTGGTGTATACATGACTCCCTCCTTCGATTTCTTTTTTTGTCACAACAACCTCGGGAGGTAGGTTGGCAGAGAGGGGGGGCAGGGGAGGAGGGGCTGGCGCCGGATCACCCAGCGAACTTGTACTGCTGGGGAGGAGGAGGCCACTGCCAATATTTCTTGGCCCCTCCCTCTTCTCTCTGCCTACATTTTTCTTCCTCTTGGCTTTCCCCCCTCCGCCTCGCCTCCTCGTCCTCTGCTTCTCTCTCCCACCTCCCCAAAATGATTGCGGCACTGCTGGTGCAATCCCTGTGCCCTAGTTAGGCGCTGGTCTCCTGTACTCCTGCATCAGGGGCCAGCCAGTCCTGTTTCCGTGAGGGGAAACGGACAGAGGCGACAGCACCCCCGCCAACCTCTCTGCCTTGCCTTCAACCCCTGCTGGTTGGAGGTAGACTGTCCCTGAGCAAGGAGGCTCAGTTCATGCCAAGCGCAATATTACAACGTCACGATCGCAACATCTTTCTCCCGGACTGGAGTTACGTCCTCTCCACGACTCGGGGGGTGGGGGGGGCCTCGGATTGCCGTTGCCACGAGCAAAGGACTTTTCCGTGGGGTCAGCGCCACGGGGTATGTGCAACAGAAAGCCCGCGTTCCTCGAATGCCCGGGCTGGAGAGTCCCCTCCCCCACCCCTTCGGTCAAGAAAAGACTGGTTTCCAGATAACACGATGTCATCGCGATCCTTCCCGCCACCCCAGCCTGCCCTCTGCTACCGGCCGGGCGCCGCAGTCGGGCGTCTTGCGGTGCTCCGTCCCCCTCCCCAGTCCACCGCTGGCGGGTAGGTGGGTCAAGCCCAGCCCCCTCCCTCCCTCCCGGCTGAGCTCCTCTCCTCCCCTCCCCTCCCCTCCCTCTCCTCAGCCTCTTCTCCCACCCCACCCCTCGCGCCGGCTGCCACTCAGGACCTCTCAGCCAATCAGAAGCGGGGAAAGGCAGCCCCCCGGCAGCCTGTGGATCCCGCCCCCTCCCCTGCAGTTGCCTTGAAAAAAGCCACAGCCGGAACGCGCTTCCCTTCCCATCCCGAGCAATGCGCCAAAGCAGACCGCGGAATAGACGCTCCCGGTTGCCCTTGGCGATTGGCGGGCGGGCTTGGCGGGCCACGCCAGGCCCAGCGCGACGCCTCCCCTTCTTTACCCCCCCCTCGCTTCCCTCTTCCTCACCGCTGCTTCCGGGCTTCAGAGTGGTCTGGGAGGCCGAAGCCCTTGCGGGTCACTAAAGAGACCTCCGCCTCTCCCGAGAGCCGTACAGGCTGAGAAGGCGACAGCGTCGTGACGGTCGCCCTCCCCCCTCGCTTTTAGGTGGCCGGGTGGGGGCGGGAAGACTAGAGCTGCTCTAGGGGGCGTGATGGCTACTGGGGGGAGCGGGGAAAGGTGTCCCTCAAATGTCGAAAGAGCAGAGCTGGGCAAGAGGAAGAGACACCGAATATAAGTCCCGAAGGGGCGGCCCGACCCTTCTTTTCTTGTCCTGCTTTGACCCGCTCCAAGTACACAGCTTCTCCTAACTATTGAGGCAGAGGGCTGGACCTTGGATTTTATCCTAGACCAGACGGGGCATTTATGTCTTGATGCTGACGTCGCCCCCTCTCCTCTTTATCCTACCTCCCCCTGGAGTTAAGCAAGGCAATACCCTTGCCTGACCTCAGTTTCCCCGAATTTTTTCCGCTTGTCCTTCCCCCTCCAGGCCTGGCAGGATTCATGTTCCGTTTGCTGAAGTTCGTGCGAACTGCTTTTGGTCCGTCCCCCCCCCCTCCCCTGAATCTAGCCGTTCCTTTCTTCTTTCCCCAGCCAAGCCCCCCACTCCACCAGGTCCCTTCAGTCTTATTGATTCAGTCTCGCTAAGCTCACGCCGGGATCCGTTGCCCCGAACAAGCCTTTGAAAGAAAGATCCTGCCGGACTCGAGAGGATCGCTGGGAGGTTCGCACTTTCGCTCGCTCGCTCTCATGTTCACACATCACATGCTATGGTCTGACTCTCCACCTCTTTTTCTAGTTACCAAGGGTGCCGAAGGTGGGAATGGCATGGCGGATGGAGACGGCTCGCGGCTGCCAAAACTGCCTATTTAACCCCCCCCCAGCCCCAGCCCAATTCCTGCCCCCACTTAATGCAGGTACCTCTCTGCAGTGGGTAGGTGGGCGGGAGATCCCTATTGGTTTTGAAACATGCCCCCACCCACCCACACCCCTTTACTGATCTGGCCAGGGACGTCACCGGCCCTCCCTCCTCTCTCCTTGAGCATGTGTGCGCGCACGCAAAGTCTCTCTCTTTCTCTCCCTCCCTCCCTCTCCCTCTCCCTCTCTCTCTCTCACACACACAATCACACACACACACCTCAAGAATACGTCGCTGTCACCTTGAGATGCCGGCAGGCGAGCGCGCAAGGTGCAGCCGGAGAGAAAGCCAAGCCAAGTCGACATTGAGGAGGTCGGGTGGAAAAAAAAAAAAAGGTGGCGATGACTGGGAGGGGACCTCAAGCGGCCAAAGGACTTGCTACACTCCCCATTCTATTTTGCAATCCCCCCCCCTTTTGGCATCCCAATAACCAGTATCCCAGAGCCTCTTTTGAAAGCTGGACCCCTGCAGGTGTTACCAAGCACCTATCTCCCCTGCTACCTCCCCGGGTAATTTTAGGCTGGGTCTGGGAGAGTACCTTTTTTAAAAGGTGGGAGGGGCGCCATTTGACGGCCACCAAGCTTTGCTTTCTGCAGTGACTTGTCCCCACGCCATCCCAACCGCATTCCGCTCCCTTCCCCCCACCCCCCCTTCTGCATTACCTATGACGGAGACTGCCCGGGTTCCCTTCTCAGAAGGAGGAGGGGAGGGAAGTCTCCTCAAACCCCACTGGGCGCTATGAGATTATATATTACATACATGTCTCTATTTATCAATCACACAGATCTCCCCCTCCCCCGCAGCCTCCCCCGCAGAAAGGTTATCCGCATGGTACTCACCGGGCCATGCCAGAAGCAGAAGAAACTGAAGTGGGGAGCAGGAAGGCTGTTCGGGAATCGGCCGCTGAAGAGAGAGAGAGAGAGAGAGAGAGAGAGGTGGTGGAACGAGGGGTCCCCCCTTTCTCTCTCTAGCTTGGCCCGGATCCAGTCGAGAATCGGAGACGCGGGGGAACTTCCTGAGCTCAATTTGCCCCCTTTCAAGAGAGGATTAGAGGGATGGGGGGAGGGCGAGGGTGGGGGCTGCTAGTTGACTACAGCCCCGGGGATGCTGCGGCTTGACATCGCAGCGCCTACATTCTGCAAGGATGGAGAGGGCTCGCGGAGCACTGGTCCAGCTGCAAATCTCAGCAGAGGGGGGAGGGGGAGGCAGGAGAAAGAGGAGGGGAACCACGGCTTGGTGGGGGGAATGGTGAAAGAAGGCGAAAGCCAATGGTAGAGATTTGAACCTCCTGCCCCACCCTCCACCTCAACCAGATCCGTTCCTCCAACTCCTCCCCACCTCTCGAAATCAAGAGACACCTACGGATTTAGAGCTGGAACTTCATTGATGGTTGCTTTCCCCTCCCTCGGGTCTATGAGATGGTATGTTCCAAGCTGCCTCTCCATCACTGATGGAGAGGCTAAGAGCGATGGAAGGATTTCCACTACCTGTTTCTGTAGCAGTCCAGCCATAGGCGCGCGGTCCCAATCCGTGCTCAGGCAGGCAGCTTCCAACTGATGGTGGTTATGACAGTGCTGATGTATGTATGTGTGGGGGAGTGTATGAGTGCAGGAGGGGTGGGCTGGGCAGAGTACCCTTTACGGAAGTAGGTGGGAGTCGAGAAGGAGGGGTAGAGAACAGAGAAGACAGCAGATAAGTCAAATGTATTTCAATTCTTTTATTTCCATCCTCGCGTTGCCTGTGCTAGTAAAATTTGTAAGTTGCACTCTTTTAAAAAAAAGCTTTTTATTATTTTAAAGCGCAACACATTTTCGTGGCCTAAGCACTTGAGGATTAAAGGTCACTGCATCAGATATATTAAGAAGTTCTCCGTTCTCGGGTGGACACAGAATAAAAGAAACCATGGGGACAAATAATCTGGGATATTTTTCTCCCTCCTTTTTAAAAGTAAATTCTTGCATTTCTAGGCACTCTTTTTTTGAAGATTTGTCTTAGTAAATCTGACAACTTGTAAAGACATGCCGAATGCATCTGAAATAGCAGGTGGAGAACTGCTGTGAGGGGAACTTGTGGATGAACTGAGATTTGATCCAGCTCAGCTTTTAACAATATTTCTCTAGAAATGGAGTCCTACTATTTAGCTCTGTCACATGCAGTATAGAGATGAATGGTCACTAGAACTGGGAAAACAGACTCTTGCTGCATTCTGAAAGTTAACCAAAACCTGTAATCAAAGATCTGTAATATCTTTAAGACATTTATGTATTTAAAGCATACACACATGTACATCACATACACATACACATACACACACGTACATACATATACATAAATTTTCATTATCTGTAGGATAGGATTATATCATTCTAAGAAGGTCTTAGGCCCTTCTCCATATTTTTCCTCCCTATAACAACTTTGTGAAGGGGAAAGCTGTTATTGTGTCAAGTCTATTGAAAGCAGGAGACTACAGAAAGCCTGTTGCTAAAGGTTAGTTTTCCACCCTCTTTGATGTTGCCTTTATTTTTATTTATTTTTATTTATGTTCGCATTGTGCACCCATTGTTGACTCAATAGAATGAAGAGACCCATCTATTTGTGTCACCCAGACGTTCTTAATAAAATTGGAAGCTTTATTAATTGCCTCTCATGCAGGTAATTTGATAGATCCCACGTTGTCAACCCACAGATGCAAGATTTAAAGTTATGACACTAACTTGGAGGGCTGTAGCTGAAGACAGAATCGTCTGTCCTTTCTATGGTGTGGGATGCATCATATGGCCTTCCCTTTGCTATCGAGTTCCCCTCATCGCTGATCATGCTGGATGAGATTGTGAACTGCAAGCTGAAGAAGTATTGCTCAGGCCAGACATGATATTATATAAGCATTGTGTCTACCAATCACATATCAGAATAGCCCCAAAGTCTCTTGACTCTAAAATCTGAGAGTGAAAGCTTAGGATTTTGGGTTGATATATAGACAGGGCTGGTATTCTCCATTCTGTAGTGGACAGATCTTTTGCAGTGAAACGGTTTATGCGTAGTGTTGAATCTGTGAAGGTTCTGACATTAGCTAGTCAATGAATGTTGGGCAATTTCTGGGCAATCAAGGTTTAACGACCTGCTTCCCTTAAGTCTGAGAGATAGAGGGGGAACCATACATGAAAGGTGGCCAAAGATTGTCCAGCCAAAAGATCACAAGAGGCAGATGTGATACACAGGTGTCACTAATTTGCCATCACTGTCTTTAGAATAAAAACTTGTGTGTCATTTCAAGATATTAAGGACAGCTTCCTTCCATAGATTCCTTTATGCGGTGGTCTATCTATGATCTGTTGATAGATCTTTTAATAATGTCCTACATACCATGTTTCCCCAAAAATAAGACCCTGTCTTATATTTTTTTTTGAACCCTGAAATAAGCGCTTGGCCTTATTACCATGCGCTCAAAAGCCCGATTGGGCTTATTATCAGGGGATGTCTTACTTTGGGAGGAACAGGGTAGGAAAGGCAAGGAGAAATACTTTACAAGTGGCAGTACTTCAAGGCAGAAAGCCCATTATGCTCTTTGCTTCCTTGAGGGATAGAAATGTAATAAAGCTCCTATCTTGAACATGTTAGGCAGCAGGTAATTAAATAAAATATGTTTATTATCATTATAATCATCATGGTTAAGATGACAGCTTCATTAGTTGAACATATGTAAGACAGAACAGTCCTGCCCTCAAGGAAGAGGTAACCTGGCAAATACTATTTAAAACTGTTTATTGTATGTGTATGTACACATAGAGGTATATGCATGTATTTATATATATATATGAATACACATATGTATTATATTGATAAAATCATATTTCAAAATGAGTTTCAGAATATAAACCGGTAATCTTGAGAGAATGATATGTAATTTGAAGATACACCATAACAACATGATCTCATTAAACATCAAAAGCACAATAATAAGAAACATACATTGCAGTAATATGTTTTAAGAGTTTTGTTTGGAAATACACAGATATGTTTCTCTGTATTAGTCCCATAAATTCAGGAGTCCTCCTGCTCTTTGTGAATTCTGTATCTGCTTATAATGGGACCATGAACAGCTCCTCAAACATGGACCTTAGTCTTTCCTTCAAGTACCAGAAGAGCCTTGATAGTACAGTGGTCTATGCACCCTGTTATTAACACAGCTGCCTGCAATTTACTGCTGGTTCGAATCTCTCCAAGGCTCAAGGTTGACTCAGCCTTCCATCCTTTCTAAGGTAGATGAAATGAGGACCCAGTTTGTGGGGGCAATAAGCTGACTTTGTATAAATATACAAAAGTATGAAGGCTATTGCTTAATGCATTGTAAGCCGCCCTGAGTCTCCGGAGAAGGGTGGCATATAAATCAAATTTAAAAAAAAAAAAAAAGTACCAGAAGACTCTTATTGCCAGATGAACATGCTCCGTTGAGATCAAGGGGAATTGGAAGGACTCAGAGATGACACACATAGTATTGCTCTGCTAAGAATTCCCATAAAACCGAATAAGCAATAGAATGAATAGGCAGGAACACCCTTCCTGGGGAAATTTATTTCCGTTCCCCAAAGCTGTGCAGTAAAAATGTGGAGATTGGGAGAGAGATGTCTTATAGCAAGGATCAAAATGGTGGCTATGACTAACAAGTTCAACTTTAGATAAATAGCCATTACATAGGCTTCTAGAAATAGAGGGAAACAAGAGAAAGTTGTGGTGGGTTAAAGGTAAAGATAAAGGGAAAGGTTCCCCTCGCACATATGTGCTAGTCATTCCCGACTGTAGGGGACGGTGCTCATCTCTGTTTCAAAGCCGAAGAGCCAACACTGTCTGAAGACGTCTCTGTGGTCATGTGGCCAGCATGACTAAATGCCAAAGGTGCATGGAATGCTGTTACCTTCCCACCAAAGGTGGTCCCTATTTTTCTACTTGCATTTTTTACATGCTTTCAAACTGCTAGGTTGGCAGAAGCTGGGACAAGTAACTGGAGCTCACCCCATTACGCGGCACTAGGGATTTGAACCACTGAACTGCCGATCTTTCCATCGAGAAGCTCCGTGTCAAGTTTCGAGGTCGTCTTAGCCACTGAGCCACCATGTCCCTTTGTGGTGGATTATCCAGGCATAATAGCTGTCTCATAAGGAAGAAAACATACTCTGATTTTTTACCTCCATCTCACTGGATTTTAAATGGCTACCCTTGCACACAACTTGTGATAGAAAAGGAGCTGGAGAGCTCTTCCTGCAGGCTCTCTGTCCAAACAAGTTGGCAAAAGCTCAGCCAAGAATGCTTCCCCAAGTTCCCCAAGAGTAATGATTTATTAATTTTTTGCCCTGCCAGTAAGGTGCTTCTAAGCAGAGCGATCAGCTAATGGGCATTGTTGGCCAGTTGGCAGGGCAAACCCAATCCCCACCCCCACGCCTCAAGTCCATCAGTCAGCAGCACTCATGCCATCAATAAGAGAGATCTTTGGAAGGAACCCCACTGATCAAACCAGAGCTTTCAGCAGCAGACATGCAGATGAGTGGCCAAAGTGGAGAAAGGAAGCCCCATATTGGCCTCAGTCAGCAGCAGGGGTCCCCCAACAAGATGCTTGCCCACCAAGCCCCATCCCACTGGACAGCACAAGAGAGGAAGTGCACCCCCTGGCATGTTTCAAAACAAAATGCCAGCCTCCATATTTCCCAAAATAACTCTGGGCTACGGACGACCCCAGAAATATGCTTTAAAAATAACAATGGTGGTTTACAGCAGTCCATGTGGGTTTCTCTGGAGGTTGTCCCCTGGGAGAAATCTGGATTTGCTTCAGGATAGGCCAAGGCATTCCTCTGTCTAGAGAGGGAATAGGGAGGGAATTGCTGTCTTCTTGTCTGCTTTCATTCCAGATGAAGACTTATAACGCTCAGAGGGTGTAAGTGTATGTGAGATTTTCTTGCTTTAGTGGAATCCTATAAAGTTCTGCACTCATGTCAGATTCTGCTCTTGTTTTCCCCCAATATTAAGAAAAAGGTAACATTAGTAAAGTTGTGCATCTTAACTGTATTCAACCAAGAATCCAGTAAGAACAGATACAAGGAGAAGTCAACCTAGCTGCAAATTATCCTATCTACCTGAAGGAAAGGGAAAAAGTATGAAAATGAAATGAAAAATGCACACAAAAATATTGATCTCTAAAATGGCACTTTCTGTGCACCTTCAGCTACCTTCTTTTCACACAGCAGAGCAGATGAGATTATTGGATTATTGGCTGGGGAGCTCTGCTATCAGATCGACTCTTGAATGAGCCATAATCTCTTAGACTGACCTG